CATGTTTCTAAAAAGGAAAGGGAACACACGGTATGAAAAACAATACATTCTGAACTTATAATATTCAAAGAGCAGGAATTTTCCGTGAAACTGCTGTCTCAGACTAGTACTAAAGAGTAATAGCCATGAAATTATTTATTTAGCTGGCAATAAATGTTTCAAAAACAATTCCTTAAAGATTATTAGAGACTCACAAAGCCATGCACCTTTATTTTTCTCCCCCTTAGCTACTTTGCATCTCCCCACTCCCTGTGAGCAGGCTCCTGGCTCCAACTTGATTGTAAGTTCCTTGAGAATAAATCTATCTTCTAATAACATCTCATCCCTGCTCCCTCCCTGGCTGCCTGTCCCTCCATTCCCAACAGAAGTCAAAGTGGTGAATACAGATGCATGAAATCAGCAAGTGGCCCTGATTATCTTGGGCTCTTCATCGAATACCAATATATTTTTAGGGAGAACAGAAATATCAATGACATTTCTTCAACCACCTGCTTTCAACAAGAATTTAGAGAGCAACTATGATTCTGTGCTATGCACTTCAGGGATGTAAACAGATATGGTCCCCACCATCCTAAAGAGACAAGTAAAACACAACGGGAGGCTACAAAAGAAGTGTAAACTGAAGGAATGCAAAGGAAGAAATGAATTCTGCCTGGCAGAGTCAGGAATGATCACCCAGGGGAGGAGATGTTTGAGAGCTTTGGTAGACAGAGAAGCATAAAGTAAAAGTGAAACTGATAGGATAGAAATATGTAGAAAACTACTTTCTTCTTCTGGAAAGTATTTCTACAACTTGATTTGCTGGCAGAATAAAGTTTTTCTACAGAATTAGTTAGCCTTTAGTTTCTCATTAAATCTTTTTTTTTTCTTCAATATGCATAAATGTTTAGCCCTTTTCTCAGGAAGTGTTCACTTACAGTTACATCCAAAATTTCACTTGTTATATCCACTTCATTCCTTAAACACACACACACACACAAAAAATGAGGACAAAACGTGACGCTTTATTAGATCTGTCTCCTTTTAAATAATTTTACACAGTGGAATCCAACCAAATTGTGAGAAAGAAATCTGTTTGCTTTATGGAGTTTCGTGAAATCTTTAGTCAGTGAGCATACGGGAAAAATAATTTTCTCAAGCGATCCCGCAGGCTTGGAAAAATTATTACCCTACATTCCTGGCTCTGCATCAAGGTTTCCCCCACTGTATTAGTAGATTTCCATTCATCTTACTTATTTGAAAACGCTTAAAGGGACATGATAAAGGGAAACAGGAAACCACATGGGCTTTAGATTAAACAAAATTATCCTTTTACTTTAAAGGAAGTAACATAAGTTAGCAACTTTTAAAAAGAAGATTAAACATTTAGTGAAAATAATTTTAAAATATTTTAAAAGAAGTATCTTTAACAATCTTTTTTCTCACATCTTCTCAGTATTAGGATAGGCTTGATTTAATCTACTATTCCCATTTAAGGAACTGAAATTAAGCTTCGAATGAGACATGGGTTTATTTACGTTTCCCTGCTCTCACTTTACCGTGCACCCGATTGCCTGACATCACTGCTGCGTCTGAGGCCTGGCGCGAGGCCAGTGTGGCAAGAGTGCAGACAGCACAGAGAGCAAAGGGACAAGATGAGTGTGGGGACGGGCACGGCCTGGATCAAGTCGAGAGCCCCAGAGGATTGTGAAGGTGTGTGGATTCCATCTGGAGGATGTTAGGTGGGGGATACCACAATGTGACTGTCTACAAAAGATCACTGTGCATGGTGTGCACAGAACGAACTTTAGCAGGGCAAGGCTGGAAGCGCGGAGATCAGTTCAGAGGCCAGATGAGAGTGGGCGCAGTGCGGGTGATGATAATGACAGCTGACATTTGTCAACCCCTCAGTATGCCCGGGACTGTTTGAAGTACATGACAAATATTTATTAATTTATTCCTCACAATAATCATATGGCCCATTTGCAGATGAAGAAACGAAGCAAAGAAAAGTGAAATAACTTCCCCAAGGGTACAGGAATTGGTAGAGCTACGTTATATCAATAGCTTCAGCTCCAGCACCTGCACCTTCGACCAGTCCCCTACATCAACAGAACATACATGGACTCAAGGCGCAACGTGAGGCAGGACGGTCAGGCCTTGCTCTGTGTTTCACATGAATGTCATGAACCTCTCCTATTTCCTGGCTTTAGGAGATGAAGAGGTGCCATTTATTAATACTAAAATGAGGCCAATCCCAAGAGGAACAGGATCTGGGAGGAAAATCAAGAATTCATTTTTTACATAGCAAGCTGACAGCTGAGAACATACATCTCTAGCAAGAGGTCAGGGCTGGAGATACAAATTTAGAAATTGTATTCAGGACAATGGCTCCTCAAGGATGTCCACGCACTAATCTCTGGAATCTGTGGATATGTTACCTTTCATGGTAAAAGGGACTTTGCAGGTATGCGATTAAGCTAAAGGTCTTGAAATGAGGAGACCGTCCTGGATTATCTGGGTGGGCTCAATGTAATTACAAGGGTCCTCATCAAAGGGAAGGAGGACAGTCAGAGCCAGAGAGACTGGAAGATGTCACACTGCTAGCTTTAAAGATGAAGGATGGGGCCTTGAGCCAAGGAATGCAGACGGGTCTCTAGAAGCTAGAAAAGGCAAGGAAACTTTCTCTCCTAGATCCTTTAGAAGGAACACTGACTTGCAGACACTTTGATTTTAGGACTTCTAACCTTCAGAACTATAAGAGAATAAATTCACATTGTTTAAACCACTAAGTTTGTGGTAATTTATTATAGCAGAAATAGCAAACTAATACCGGAATTTCAAGTTAGTATTTAAAGTTATATGATATTGAAAGTGTAAGTGAAGGAAGCAATAACTAAACAAAAGTCTCCTCGAGAAGGCACAAAGAGATGGGTACCAGAACAAATGAGGAAGTAATGGCCTTAATTAAGGAGGGGCATTTCTTCTTTTGTAACAGAAGTGATGAAGTGGAATGGAGGTTGATGTGTGGAGGCTACAGTGGGAAGCTGAAATCATCCCAAATCATGGCTTTTATGATCTCAATAAACTAGGCGGCCGGGTCAACAGTGGGTCAGCGCTTGAACCAAGGGCATCTGACTTAATTTTAATGCAATTTCTCTCAATACACTGCACCAAGTGATTCCCAAGACTTGTAACAGGAAATATTAGGAGTGGACACAGAAGAGCTACTATGTTCAGGCAAATGTAACAAAACTCAGGTGGGCCGTTCAAGGCAAAGAGGAGTGAATGCTTGACCACCTGTTTACCACCATGGTACCCTATCCTGATCAGCCCAGGCTCTTGGACTGGGCCTCAGGATCCTTCTCAACACAGAAATCCACAGAACAGCAGACCAAACTGAATTGGCACTTGAGATGAAATTTATTTATATAGGCACTATAGTTCTTTTTATCTCCTCCCAGAGGAGATATGAGTCAAAAAATGACTGAGAAACAGAAAGAAGACAGTAGCTGCTAAATGTCTTTCAAGAAGAGAACGATTAAGGAAATTGTGGTATAACTGTATCATGGACTTTTATGCAGCCTTTAAAAAGACAAGGCACAGGGTTGATGTGCAGTGTCAGGGGTCACTCTCCCTCCTGCCTCCGCCACTCATGTTAAATACTTCATCTTACCATTCCATCCACCACTTCCAAATCCCACCTTTACTTTCTCTTCACAATATGACTTTTTCTCACAAATCCCACGGGTGACTGACAATACCATTGTCATTATAATCTTTCTCTAATTATTCCATAGTCTGGCTATTAAAATTACTTGTCCCCCTTTTTTTACTTCTATCACACCTTTACTGATAAATTCCTATTTGATTCTGTCTTACACAATGACTCTCTTCTCCATTAATCTACATCCTACCAACATTATTTTCCTTGTCCCAATTATCATACTATTTTCTTTAACGTCCTACACTTAATCTTCTTTAGTTCTCATTTCTACTACCTCTCACCATGCATCCTCTCTTTCATTTCCTGTTATAAATTTGATCCTTTGCTTCACATATGCTGAGGTTTCCTGCTTCCATGGTCAAGTTTTGTGAAACCCAGTAATGGGTTTATGCTCAACCTATTATACACACATTTAATTTCCTCCCATAAAATAATTTTTCTCAATCTCACTGATTCCCAACCGCTGCCCTCCATGTTCCCTTCACCTCTCCCGCCTACACCTGCCTCGAAAATTTTAAACTAAATTCCTAAAAGGTCAAAACTACTTAGCAGTTCATCCTTTCCTAAGTCATCCTAAACGCTCCACACAGTACTGAGTACCACCCAACTCTGTTCTAAGCACTAAACATACCAACTCAGTTAATCACACAACCTGCTGAAATGGATGCTATAATTATCCCATTTTAAATATGTGGAAACTGTGAGCCAGAGACGTCATGGAACTTGCCCCAGGTCACACAGCTGGCTAGTGTCAGAGGCTCTGGAGTCCAGGCTCCTTGCAGGAATGCCATGCTGTCCTCCAGCATGTGTTTCTGAGGCAAAGTTAAGCAACTCCTTTTCTCGGCTGAAGCCACATGATGGCTTCACCTTTAATCTGGCATTTAGCATACTGTACTGTAACCAAGTGCTTATCTGTATCCTTTACACTAAACCTCTTTGAGGACAGAAACTGTCCTTCTCTCTCTCCTTAGAACATGGGATGGCACCTGGCACTAGGAGGTATCCAAGAAATAGTCACTGAATAAAGGACTAGATCAAATGTGAGCAGTTGTAGCAGTGCTCCAATCCAGCATAGCACACATGTTCAGTATAGGCAGATGCAGTGAAGAATTTCATTCCAAACTTTCAGACTCCTGCCTTAATAACATGACACACCAAAAAAAGGTAATTGGGGAGCTATACTGATACATCTCTGTTTATTTTGGGAAACTCAAGGTGACATACACTCTAAAAAGACATTTAGGTGGTGGACTCCAAATCGCCAACAGTACAGATGGAAGGACTCTAGAGTTACCTGACAGTGCATCATAGAACTCGTCCTCACTAAGGATGCTGAGAGGTGGGGATCCTTTAACCAGAGACTGCTCTAATTCATGATGTTCAGTGGCTAGAGTCTCCAGTGCTTCTGACAAAATTTTGTTTTTCTCTTGTTCCTGTTCCAATTTAAAATTCCTCACCTAGAAGAAAACAGACACACAAAAAAGACTTCAGAGTGACAGGAGACAAAGACTTTCTCAGAGGATGTGAAAATTATTTGCTTTTGATCCAGTTCAGTTGCAACATCAGAAATGAAAACAGTCAGTTATATACACATGGATGAATGAGCAGAATTACTAAGCTAATTTTGTTCTTCCCATGGGGCCTTTTTTCACAACAGCTTAGTTAATGAAAATAGATTAAGAATTAGCAAACAAATTCAGCTCGAATGATCAGGATCCTGGAATAAGAAGAACATTCGTCAATTCAGAAATCACATAAAATTTTTAAAATATAAAGAATATTTTTCTCTCAACATTAACCACGAAATTAAGAAACCAGTATTAGCAAGTTTTCAAACAAAATAAAGAATTTAAACCATTCTAAACATTAAAACATACAGCACATCAAAGCATGAGATATAACCCTCCAGTTTACTTCCAAAAGAGTTAGCACATCAAATGAAGGGAAACAAGTTGCCTGGCAATGACTATAAACATTTCATTTCCATTTGTCAACTCCATATTTTGTTTTCAATTTCACATTTTACCCTTTGAAGATACAATCTATTCCTCCAGTCTGACTCAATAGCATCCAACCTTCGTGGTTGACCAAAGCCTTCTAAAAATTCAAGTCACCCAATCTTCATAAAATAGCATGCACTGGATTTGGTATGGACAGTTTCACCTATTTTTGTATCGGAACTCTGAAAATCGCTACTATTCCTTACCCTTGCTTGATTTCCGGAGCCAATATGGCACCGTATGCAGGAGCCAGACAAGTTGGGACCCACTAGTGGAAACTGTGTATTCTCAGAAGTTTCTTGTTCCTTTGTTCCCTCTCCTATAAAATAAGAGGTTTCCACTATCACCTAATAATCTAATCAGCTGTCTTCAACTCAGTGGTCTTCAAACTCTTCTTTTTCACTTTAGCAGCAGAACCTAATTCTCAAATATAATCCCAACATATAAAATACATATTTTAGAAAGCAGAACTGTGCTGGGTGACTATGGGTATAGATCAGGAGCCCCACTTCTTTGACTTTCCCCTCCCTGAGGTCCCCTCAAGGCCCAAACCCAGGGGCTGTTCCAACAGTTTGAAAAACACTTGATGGGGTGACCTCCAAAACCTCCTCCAGGATAAACTTTCCACCTCTGGATCTTAGGAGCTGTAGACCCTCTCATGACTGCTCATCTGAGTTCCTCACTGCTGAGTCTAACCCTCTCACTTCCTGACATTCCCCCTCTCCTTCTCCCTCCACATGGCCCCCAAAGTCGAAGCTTCTCCCCCTCTGTTCTGGCTCCAGAGCCCTCTGTGGCCCTGAGTTCCTGACAGACACACATCAGCAGGCACAACACCCTAAGAATCTTGGATATAACTTAAAGTTTTACTGAAATGTTAAGTTCACAGCAGAAACAGGGTTAAGCCCTTATTATCTTGGGAATAGTTCCAGTCCTTAGGCACCTTACAACAATAAGATTATTATTAGAGCTGAGATAATAAAATAAAAATTGCAATACATGGTAAGCAATAATGAGCAAAGACGAGCAAAACTGAAATAAATACTTATATAATTACAAGTTTTAAGGAAATTGAAAAATATCTACAAATATTCCTACAATCTAAATTGTATCTCCAGAGGAGCAAATACTAGAATTAGGGCTACAGTCAATTTAAAAAAATAAAAAGCTGTTCTTCCTCCATTTGATGGGTTAACCAATTCATTTATCTATAAACAAGGACTACAAAATGGAGCACAATGTCCAAAATGATCTTTTCTTTGAATAGTAAAGATCTCTCAGCACTGTTATATTTGTAGATTCCAAAATCAACATTGTAATAAGATCCAAATTCTTTCACCCCTGACCATCCTCTCTTTTTAGCTTTTCCAACATCAAAATGCAAATGTGCTATAGATACTGAACCTTTAAATATAAGAACTAAATTATCCCTTCTATTTAACAAATGCATACATTCTAACACCTAAATTCATCCATTTCAGATTTTAGCAAAGTGGCAAAATAAATGATCAAGGCCCCAAAACATCCAATCCTCTCAACAAAATCTTATTCAAAATGCAATTTATCATTTATCCATCTAAAATAAGCATCTCTTCACTTTTGCCACATCTACATCTGTTCTCACTTGTTCTTGAGAGACAGAGAGACAGACAGACAGACAGTGAAAGGGAGAGGAAGAAGCCCTAACCACGGTTCTATTTCTTAACTTGTTTTTATCTTTCTATTGATCTGAGTGTACTTTTATTAGTTTCAAGCCTAACAGGATTTTCTGCACTGAAGATACCTTACTATTAATATAAAACTACCCACAAAATGACAATTTCTCCCATCACGTAAGTGATGTACATGAGAGATTAACCATACATCACAGAAGCTGCATAGTAATGGGCTCTCATTGCTAGAGAGAAGGATCTAGGAGGATACTTAACTGTCAGTAATACTTTTAGCCAGTTAGAAGGATCACTGGAACAATGTAATTCCAAATCTACAATCTCGACATTTCAGAAATACCTAGGAAAAATCTTGCATTTAAAAATTAGTGTAGAACTGCTGATAAAGATATACAGAGTGCAACTTTATAAAATATTCACCTTACTTTTAAACTATGTTTCAAAATTCTCAGTTGTTAGCTTAGAAACTATGTTGTAACAGAAACTGTACCTTTTGTGCAAAACCTCTTTGTAATTCCACACACAGCACTTCATTTATAATATGTATCAATATGTGCATATTGATTACTAAGTTTTTAAAATTCTCAAACTATAATAATTACCCAGTTATTATTAAAGGAATAAAGAACTCCCTTCATAGAACTAGTGCACCCCAACAGATGTGTTTATAATTACATTAGAACTTTTCTAGAATAAGGCTACATTTTGTCTTTCAAATTCACACAGAAAATATATATCCTCAGCCCTATGACTTTCCAACAATAAAAATCAACATATGATCAAGTGAACATAATAAATGTTATACTTTTTATTAGGAAAAACCACCATATGCTTAACAGTAAGCATACAGATTGCTCTGTGTCTGCAGCCCCTTAAAACTGATACAGTACAAATTTAAGCCTTTCCAGTAGTCTGTCTCCTCAAACCACCTCAATATGGCAATCTTTCATTAGATGTAATTTCATGCTAAAAGGTGAAATTCACAGTGACTACTTCCAAAGTGAAGGGATGCCAGCAAAAGAATCCAGCGCTTTGAAAACAGAAACCTGCTAGCCAGCTTACGCACATTTTATCTTCCCTGTCATTCTAGAAAGTGCCTTGTTATTTACCTATTTTCAAAAAGGCTAAATGAGACAGAGATAGTAATTAAATCTGGCAAAGACAGGGCACTAAGTGAGGAATCAGTGATTCGTATTCACAGAACACTATGTGTGATTATCCAATTATAAGACAGGTAAAATTTCAGCCTTGATAGTCAATGTGGTCAGTTCAACAGCATGAGCCTTACTCCTTTCTTCTTTGCTATTGATAGATAGCTGCAATAACCAAATGTGTTAGCTTGAGACCAAAACACTAGATCTTAAATTTAAAAGGTATCTATTAATAGTTTTTAGCTCTCACTTAAGGAACATTGATACTTTGTTTCTGTGGTTACAGGACTAATGATGTTCTCATTTCAAAACTTTTTTCAAGGTATGTGTTTTAGGTGATCCCTGCTATTGCCATACAGCTATTAAGAAGTGTGGGTCTGATAATTTACAGCTGATAATAGCTCCTCTGCCCCCAATCCACTACCACACTGTTTACAGTAGAGGAGGAGAGAGCTCCCATGTGAGTGCAAATGGTCAATGTTACTTCCAAATCCACTGTCAGGCTGAATCACTCTCAACTCCAGGGTCCAGGGAAATTAAGCTTTGATCCCACATCTGAGGCATTGTCCAGTATTTTGGAAATATATCTTCATGATAGCATGGTATACACTTGCTTTGTTTTATAGATTTACAAAGCACCTTTGTGCACATTAAATTTCTGGATTTTCATTGTGCATCACTAATTTCCCTATGCTCCTGAAACCTTTTCTGCAGTCCTTCCTACTACTAAACAATGACACTCATTTAAGAATATTTAAGAAAAAAGAATAAATTAAGAACAAATCTGTCTCAGGGACCAAGGCAGATCTGATAGAAGGAAACTGAGATGAGGCAGGGGTGTGCACAGAGCTTGCAGAGCACTGCAAGAACTCTGGCTTTACCTCTGAGCGACATGGAAAGCTGCTGGAGGAGGAGCAGTAGTGACATTATTTAATTACATTTAAATATGATCCCCCTGGTTATTATGCTGAAGGGGGGTGGGGGTAAAGAGTAGAATTAAAAGATCCCTTAAAAGGCTATTGCAACAAACTGGAATAAGAGATGGGTAAGAGCGATGGAAGTGTGGGGAAGTGATCAGATTTGGGATGTATTGGGAAGGAAGGCGTAGAGGATGTGCTGACAGATGGCCTACATGGTATAAGAGAAAACAGGAATAAAGGGTGGATTCATGGTTTGGGCCTGAGCAACTGTAAGGACAGAGTCACCATTACCTAACATGAGAAAAACTGCAGGAGAAATGGGGACAATCAGGAGCTCAATTTTATGTCTGGTAAGTGTGAGATGCTATCAAACATCCAAGTATAGACGTCGAGTTGGCAATCAGATATCAAACTGGGTGTTCAAGGAAGAAGCAGTCTGGGCTGGAGACGGGACTCTGGGAGTCATTCACGAACAGATATTTTAAGCCATAAAACTAGACAGCATCACTAAGAAAGAAAGCGAGATAGGAATGAAAAGAAATCCACAGACTGAACCTTCATTGGTAAGCTGAGAAAGAACCAGCAAAGGAAACCAAAAAAAAAGAGAAGAGAGTGGAGGAAAACCAAGAGTGTATGGTGCCCTGGAAGCCTGAGAGAGGCCTTCAAGGAGGAAAAAGTGATTCACTGTGTCAAACACTGATGACAGACCAAATACAATA